GATATTATAAAAGAATAAAGGAATATCACACCTGAATTAAATAAAACGTTCTGCTCACAGTAGTCACTCTGGTGTAATTTGCTCAACAAACTTTTGAATTTTGAATTTTTTTCCGTGATCCGATCCGTGATCCGATCCGTGATCCGGTCCGTGATCCGATCCGTGATCCGGTCCTTGATCCGATCCGTGATCCGGTCCGATCCAGGTTTAGCTCAGTAACCGACGGTAACCGAGGAAAAGCAGACGTTGTCGCGACATCTTAGTAGCAAGTGTTTTCGAGTTCAGCGCGTAAAGAAGACAAAAATAGACAAAGATTCCTCCTAATGTAAGTAGGTTTCAAGTCAACAGGCAAAAAAAGCTAAATAGACTCATGTTTAAGCAAAGAAATCCCGGACTGCCGTTTCCCGTTCATCGTCAAGTGCCGTAAATGTTTCCTTTCTGTTAGAAGCTCAATAGCTCTAATAGTAGACCATAGTAGCAGTGTACAGGCAGGCGCAACTAGAAGAAGACCTACCACAAATAAAATAGAGAGAAAAAAAATCGTAATTGAGGTCTATGGAGAAGAAAAAAGCAAATGTGAGAATTTTAAGCGGCCCCGAATAAGAAGAAGTACCGGTAAACATTTACGTAGCCTGGGCTCCGCGGCAGATGCCGCTTCAGTTTTTTTTGCGGGAATAGGCTCAGTGAAATATCAATTTTTTTTCCCACTATTCATCTACAAAGGTTTACATTTAACGAGAGCTTGACTCGACATCACCGCAAGCAAATTGACAACGAGCTGCGTTCGGCATCGTAGTAAAGTCAGAAATTTTAAAATTTTCCAATATAGTTTCCGTGCAACATTGCAGCACTTGCTTTCCGAGAAAACCTCCAACCGTCCGTTGTATGCGGCCTACTTTAGTTAATTAGTTCCGTGTAAACAGCTTCTCTAACAACTGCGGTTTAGTTACGAAACTCGGTAAGCAGTAACCGTGGTAAACCTCTCTCGTGAAAACACGGCGTTAGTTGAATGTTTGAAAAATAACCATGATAAGATGCCAAAGTTATACGAACATTATAAGTGATATAGTTTGCAAAAAATAGACATAGAAGTTTAAGTTCATACAATAATGTTCAATTTTTTTCAATGAGTAGAAAGTCCTCTCCACAAAATCCACTATCACAACATTGATTACAATCACTATAGTAACCAATTCAAGAGGCTGACTTTGTAAATTAAGGAGGTTTAGTCTCCGGTGACATTTTGCAAGCTATTCTCCATATTTTTAATTGTGATATTTAAAAATGCCTATGAATAGCTCTTTTTCAAATGAAACTTTTACTTTTGTGGGAAATTGTAATTGTTTTGATTAATTGGTAACAGGACATCGTGTCGTCCAATTCAGTCTGTAATCATGCTCGTGATTAACAAATCGGACTCCCGCTCCACGGTCGTCCGATTTTGTTAATCACGCGTATGATTACAATCCGAATTGGACTCCACTCAGTCCTATTACCATTATATATAAACACCAATGAAATACCAGGTGAGTTTTCGCGCGAAAGCAAGATTTCTTCACACGTGAAATTATATAAACAATAGCCTCCATTTGGCGCGAAAATATGCTCGGATATATGTCCGCGGACATTATCTGTTCCTCAAAGCTCACAGTTTTCCGAGAGCGTAGCTCGAGGAAAACTGTGTGTTTATCCTTCAAATATTTTTCGCAGCACGCGCAGTTTTGAAAATTGGGAATATTCACGGATATTATTCCCCAGTTTCAGCTGGGGAATATTCGGTCACGTGACGTGTTTAGCCCAATCGCGCGCGAGCGAAAATATTTGATGGATTATAAAACATGATATTTTCGCGCCAAATGGAGGCTATTGTTTATTTATCTTCACACGTTATCTTCACCGTTGCTATGGTCACATAAATTGCGCGCCTTCATCTTGACAAATTTTCATCCGAATGGCTGACGAACCTAACTGGAACCTAGATGTTCTCGATTTCGACGACAATTCTAAGTGTAAATTTATTAATGTGTCCAAAGATGATGTTGACATAAGCTTATTGCTCAAGAAGAGAACGAATATACGAAGGAAAAGACCATGTATGTCTTCAACATTGTTCTAAAATATCTTCGCAAGGTTCGCAAAGAGGACAGAGAATTAGAGAAAATCCCACCGGCGGAACTGAACGTATTCTGCAGTGAGTTCATTATTTCAGCTAGACCGAAGAAAGGTGAACAATACGAGCTGTCTTCTCTCAGAGGAATCTTATCAAGCGTTGACCGTTTTCTCACAAGGTGCGAATTAAGGCTGTTTATCGATCTCGAATTTACGAGATTGAAAGACGCATTGAAAGCAAAGCAAAAAGAACTGAAAAAAATGGCCGAGGGAATAAACCGAATGCAGCCACTACTCTCGCGGGTGAGGAAATCGATATTCTCTTTGAAAAAAAAAAGTCTTGGGAAAAAGTTTTCCGCAGTCGCTACTGAACAACGGTTTGGCTGGATAATATCACATACGTCAGTCTCAGAGACTGCACAGAACAAGGAAACTTGCGCTGGGGCGACGTTGTTTTGGAGACTGATAGTCAGGGCAAAGAATATCTTGTTCATTCAGAGAGACAAATTAAGAGTAGGCAGGGCAGGGACCCATGGAATGTCAG